GTTTATTTAGGGAGGTCTTAATAAATGGAACTATAGTGATTGATTAATTATACTTAAAGGGAAACTGTCAAAAGAAAAATACTATTTAAAAAATGCCTGTCTCACTAATAAAACTGTGGTTCATTAGAACTGAAATATCATAGAATACACTGCTGTACAGCCAAAATGCTTCTGAAATAAATGTAGTCAAACTTTACTAATTCTGGGTCACTAAGAACGAAAGTGATGCTTAAAATTGTTGATTGGCTCTAGTTTTCAAGATATGCTATTAGGTCAGTATATACGACCCTTGACTTGGGAATGGCGGAGGATAAGTGAGTTATAAAGGGAAGGGATCTCAATTTAAACCAGAAATGACTAAAATACATCTTTGACTGGATCTATGAATAAATCTATGACTGGGTTTGGACAGTACTTGCTTTTTAGGCAAAACAATGAATGATGCAATCTGAAGCTGGTATTGCATCATACATGATATGAATTGCATCATGTTATTCCTAGAAGTCATGGATGATGCAATCATAACGAAGCTTACATCACCCTGCTGAACAAATTGCCCTATATCAGCTCTAGAAATCATACAGTGTCGTGCTCTCTTATTTGTCAGTGTTTGATTTTGCAAGGGGACACATTTCTGTTTAGCCAAAGTGAGCAGAGATGCCTCGTACTTGTGTGAACAGTGCAGATAACTTCTGCTATGTTTGTGGTGAAGTGACTTTTGCATCACAAAAGCGCAGTATAACCACTATGGTTAAGAAAGCCTATCACCTTTATTTTGGCTGCAAAATTGGAGATCAGGACAAGAGGTGGGCCCCACACATATGCTGCAACACTTGTGCAACAAATCTTTGCCAGTGGTTGAACAGGAAAAGGAAATCTATGCCTTTTGCAGTGCCAATGATTTGGAGAGAGCCAACAGATCATCCCAGCAATTGTTACTTCTGCATGGTGCCTCCAGTTGGGAAAGGTGTGTCAAAGAAGAAAAAGTGGACTGTGCATTATCCAAACATTCCATCAGCTATACGCCCAGTACCCCACGGAGAAGGACTGCCGGTTCCTGATGCACCAGAATCATTCTCACTTGAGTCAGACGAGGACGACGAAGAGGATGAAACTTCTGGTCCTGAACCATCAATGTCACAGGACCCACATTTTCTCCCATCCTCCTCCTCTGAACCACACCTCATAACACAAGGTGAACTGAATGACCTTGTCAGGGATTTGGAACTACCCAAGAGTAAGGCAGAGCTGTTGGGCTCCAGACTACAGCAGTGGAATCTCCTGGCAGGTGATGTTAGGGTTTCCATGTTCCGGGACCGTCAAAAGGATCTTGTCCCATTCTTCTTCATGGAAGGTGATCTTGTAGCCTGCAACAACATCGATGGTGTGATGGCAGCCCTCAACATCGTTCACGATCCAGATGAGTGGAGACTGTTCATTGATTCATCGAAGACAAGTCTTAAAGCTGTTTTACTGCATAATGGCAATGTTTTGCCATCAATTCCAGTTGGTCATGCAGTCCATATGAAGGAAACCTATGACAACATGAAACAACTTTTGCGGTGCATAAACTATGACCAAGATCAGTGGCAGCTTTGTGGCGATTTGAAGGTTGTTGCTCTCTTGCTTGGTCTGCAGACTGGATACACAAAGTACTGCTGTTTTCTCTGCGAATGGGATAGTCGTGCAAGAGATTCCCACTACATCAAGAAAGATTGGCCACTCCAACAGTCATTGGAGCCTGGGAGGAAAAGTGTTCAGCATCCACCACTTGTTGAATCAAGGAAGATTTTGTTACCACCCTTACACATCAAGCTGGGTCTGATGAAGAACTTTGTCAAGGCCATTGACAAAACACAAGCAGCTTTCAAGTACCTCCGTGGAAAATTTCCAAGGTTAAGTGAAGCTAAGATAAAGGAAGGTGTCTTTGTTGGTCCTCAGATTCGTGAACTTCTTTGAGATGATGCATTTGACCATGCACTACGTGGCAAGGAAAAGACGGCATGGAAAGCCTTCCAGTTAGTGGCAATAAATTTTCTCGGAAACAACAAGGCAGACAACTACAGGTTGTTGGTGGAAAACTTCCTCAAGGCATACAAAAGCCTTGGTTGCAACATGTCACTAAAGATACATTTTTTGCACTCTCATCTAGATTTTTTTCCACCGAACTGCGGAGCAGTGAGCGACGAGCACAGCAAGTGATTTCACCAGGACATTGCAACAATGGAGAGAGAAACGCTATCAGGGCAAATGGAGCCCATCAATGCTTGCAGACTATTGCTGGACAGTGACAAGAGATGCTCCATTTAATGAATACAAGAGACAAGCCAAGAAGCGCCGAGTAGACACTGAATAGGACTAAACTATGTACAGAATAGTTTTTTGCCTTTTGTTTCATAATAAATTTTATTTATATAACCCTTTTGCTGATTTTTAAAGTGTTACATAAACAGGACAGGTGAAATATTATCATGTAAAGCAACCATAAAGACATGAAAAGACCTAGGTTTACAATTTATGATTAAAACTCTATCTACACAATATACATAGACATAAAATGTAAAAACTTAAATATCTTAGAAACAGTAGCCAATCAGTTGTTTTAATTGTCATATTTGAATTCAGCACATCAAAATACATAATAAATAGCACATTTTATCTCTGAAGCAGACGACTTCTCAAAAATTGTAGACCAGTGATATCAGGGTTGGAAGGAGGTCATCTAGTTCAACCCACTGCTCAAAGCAGGACCAATCCCCAGACAGATTTTTACCCCGGTTCCCTAAATGGCCCCTTCAAGGATTGAACTCACAACCGTGGGTTTAGCAGGCCAATGCTCAAACCACTGACTTCTCACCACTTACTCATTTTGTTGTGTTCGGGCCGGGACTATAATGAGATCAACAACACATTAGAGTTAGGCCACTGAATAGCTCTGAGATGGTAACAGTTTTGAGTCACTACCTATGTTTTCACATAAAACATAGTCATTGATGTAATGATACAATTACCATATAAGAATTAATATTCCATTAATGCCCAGAGGTTGTAAGTGGGTAGTTAATAGCTTCCAAGGCTAATGGAAATTAACGTAGCCATAGCATTCACACATTACTTGCTGCTGGTGTACAATATCTTTATAAAAGCTAATATAGAGAATCATTCTCTTAAGAATAGCATCAATTAACTGATTTAGTTCAATGATTAGTCACAGAATGGCTTGTGCCCTAGTGCCTCCTGATAAATAATTTAGAAATACCTTATGGTTAGGAAAACAAACAAGTAGTCATTTCTAACTCCTATAGGCAAAGCACAGATCTGTTGTGCTGAACACGAAGTTACGGTGGATAAACCTAGGTTTCTCCTTCCTACCATGCATGCACATCCGTCTGCCTTTCCTTCTCTCACCTCCACACACGCTGATGTCATACTGCCGCATCCTCATTCCCACCAACGCCCAATATGTCTTCTTCCCCTTCTTATCCAGGCCTCCTATGAGACATCTACATCTGCTTCTCTCCCAGTCCCATCCTGGCCTAATCCCATTACCTTTTAAAGCGGTGTGGGTCTCAGAAGTAGCTCTTTAGTCTCTCAGATGTGCCAAGACTTGGCTTCTTCTTTGGAAACGAATATGTCAGCACGCTCTAAGATTGGAAAGGAGGAACAAGCCAAAGCCTGGCAGAAAGGCTGGAAATGTGCTGATCTGTGCAATTGCTTACTATAGATAGGAAGGTCTGATCTGGTGGATGGGAAGGAGGAAGCAACAGTGAAACAAGTGTACCTTAACCAAATTGTGTGAAAAGAAATAGGGCTGAGGTTTGAGCCAGTTCTTTTTCTTTATGACATGAACCAGTTCGCCCATCTCTACTCCTGATAACCCTTAGAGATCCTCTGGATATCTGGAAGCTGTGTTTCTCTGCTTTATGTGACAACGAGAGCGTGCCCAAGTCTCTAGGTCTTTGTAGGAGAAATGATCTATGATGCATCTTCTGTTATTTCTTTTAGTGTCCAGCATCATTACAGCATTTCTCTTAGGGCATGTCTCCACTTATCGGGGGATTGACACACAGCGATCGACCCACCAGGGATCGATTTAGCAGGCCTAGTGAAGACCTGCTAAATCGACCGCCAATCGCTCACCCGTCAACTCCGGTACTCCACCGGAACAAGAAACATAAAGTAAGTCAACAGGAGAGTTTCTCCTGTCGACCCAGTGCAGTATAGACACCACAATAAATCGATCTAAGGTACATCGACTCCAGCTACGTTATTAGCTGCGTAACTTAGGTCGACTTATTCCTGTAGTGTAGACCTAGCCTTAGAGTCACACAGTTTTGCACTCTCTTATGTAAATCTGGTCATCAAACAGCTGCTGCATTTTATTGATTTGGCAATGGGTGGGCATTTGTGTGTGTTTTTCTTCCTGTGTTCTAAGTGATAATGCCAATAGTTCAGCTCCTTTTCAGCCCCATGTACCCTCCATTCAGTTTTTCTGCTATTTATAAATACCTGTGTAACCCACAGTGCAGTGTGCATCATGCTTCCCCCTCTAGTGGCTGATTCAGACAGACTGCCTACCTACTGCCACTTCCAGCTAATGGACTTAGGTCAAGATGTTTAAAAGTGACTAGTGATTTTGATGCCTCGGTCTTTGGGTGCCCAACTTGAGAAGCCTTAAAGGGGCCCAATTTTCAAAAGTTGCTAAGTGCCTGCCCTCTGCAAATCAGGCCCCTTCAGATGCTATAAATTGGGCATCCAAAAATTGGTGCACCTAAAATCACTATTCATTTTTGAAAATGTAAGCATTAGTCCTTCAGCTCCAGCGGCAGAGGTCTTTGGTGCTAGAAACCGCATGCTCAATCCCTGGTGCTAGCCTGTGATGAGGGTGTTGCGTCTACACATTGATGTCTATACAAAACTGTGACTGATTTGAAGCTCTGAATCTGTGGGGACCTGTCTTAACAGTTAACCTCTTTCCATTTTTTATTTCTCATTTGTAGCTCAGGTGTGCAGACTCTGCCCCATAATGCCAAGGTGCACTACAACTATGCCAATTTTCTGAAAGACCAGGGTCGTAACAGTGAAGCCATCTATCACTACAAAACTGCCCTCAAGTAAGTTCCTTGAAACACCGATTAAGACTGTTTACTTAAACTTTCCTCTTCTGGCACATGAAGTGCTCTGTTTTCTCTTTTCCTAACAATAGACAGCTCCCTGGTAGCAGTTATAGCTTAACTTGAAAGCTCTTTGGCTTAGTGTTTCTATGTCATTAAATGAGGTAATTTGGCATCTCTCCCACAGTGTGTGTGTTAGTTAAGTATGTAGCATTCAAAAGTTTCCATAGCTACACATTGAGCAGTGAGGTGTCATTTACTTGGCTGAATGTACACTGGTAAATGGGAGGGAGTTGCCATAGCTGTATTTGCAGGTGCTCAGGCCATTTATATTAATAAATTATTAATTGTGCATGTATGAAAAATATTAAGTCTGTAACCACCAAGGTAGAGTAGTGATAATACTTAACACTTATACAAAGCTTTATATCTTCAAAGCACCATACAAACACTCGCTATTAATTTATTCTCAGAACATCCCAGTCTGATAGGTGGGTAAATAGTATTATCCCCATTTTACAGATGGAGAAACTAAAACAGCAAGATGAGTTGACTTGGCCAAAGCCACATAGTAAATTTGTATCAGAGCCAGGATTATAACCCATGGCCTCATGACGCCCAATCCAACACTTACTCCTACAGACCACGCTGCCCGTAGGCATGGGTGCAGCAGCGCAGCATCACTGTGGTTTAGGTTGCATCCTGAATTCTGTTTAAAGATTCATCTTTCTTAATCCTCTAAAACTGGCATGCTTGATCAGATTCCTTTGAAATTTGGTGTGCCTCAGCATCATGGCTGGGTCATGGATGTCCAGACCTAGTAGTCAGAGCCAGACTGTGCAGTCACGAGACAGGAGTCAGCTGGGTCTAGATACCAGGAGGTTAGAAGTAGGAGACAAACTGGAGATCACGACAAATCAGATGCCATGAGTGAAGCCGGAGCAGGTAGCAGGACTTGGGGAGGGAGCAGAAGGCACATAGAGCAAAGTGGAGCCCAGCTATTCAGACAGCTTCCTGTTCCTGCTGCCGGCTTAAGTAGGGCCAGCAGGCCAATCGGCTGTTCTGGGATTCCACCAATTGGACCTCAGGGGGTGGAGCCTCACACTGGGGCTGGGCTTTGTGGATCCCAGGTAAGCTAGTGTCAGCAGGTTGCCAGGTGGAGGGCTGGAGCGTGGCTGCTCCCATGAACTGTAGTCATCTTGGGATTGAGACCTGTGTGGGTCAAGACACTCAGGAGGGTGAAGGATAGGGTTATTGACCCAAATTTGGGGTCATTTGAGCTAGGGATTGTGGAAATATGCTTCCCCTTCTCCAGATAGCCAATTTTCAAAAAGTTCCTCAGGTGTATGTAGTTTTTTTTTTGTGCTCAGAGCTAGAGATCAGGCTATTGATAAGATGACGGTCAGAATAGTCTCAATCTATCAAGTTTTACCAAAGGTAGTTCGTGGTGCCCGCTAAATCTTTTGGGGACCCAAACTAAGAACAGTATTTAAGAAAAGGTATGTTTTTACAGTGCATGTGCACTAATCCAGAAAAATGGATAGAGGGCTTCCATTCCCACCAATTTTTACATTCTTGTCAAGCTAGACTGTTGTTAGTGCTCTAAAATCTGAATGGTTACTTGGATTGCTTGGAAATTTGTTGTGCCCCGTGGAGGCCTGGGGTAGTGTTCATGATCCAAATTTGGGGTCAATTGATCAATGGGTTCCTGAATTTCAGAACTCCCCAAAACAATTTCCTTCTGTTGCCTTGTGCAGCCTGGCCCTACAGCTCAATGAATGGGCACCCTTGCAGCATGTAGCCTCCTTCTGAGTTGTAGAAATGGGGAAGGGGAGCCTCTCCTAGAGGAGCGAACACAAGAAAAAGAACAACAATAAAAGACTGAGAGAAAAACAGAAAGCAAAAGCCAAAGATACAAAAAAAAAATCACACCAGAGAGGAAAGAGACACAAAGACAGAAAAAGAGAAAAGGTAGACAGAAAAAAGGGACAGAAGAAAGGCATGTAGGACATAGCTTGGTGCAAGGGAACATGTGCATATAGAGGGTATCATCCCTTGCAAACTAGGGGTTCTGACAGAAAAATGGCTGGGAACTTTTTCTTATTGATCTGCAGCTTGCTTAGTCCCTAAATGTGGGGGAAGGACAGAAATTACCTCAGTCCAATTAGACTGTGTCTGTGCTAATACCCACCGGCCAACTAAGGAATAATATTGATGGCTCTGAAACACAGCCCCACCCAGTCATGATTAGCTGGAAGGATGGTGTTTGCTGCCACCCACCATGTCTGGAAAATGGATGTGAGAGGCATTGGACAGCATTTTGGATATGAACAGGGATACTGAGGACATCACAGGTTTTTTTAAAAAAAAGTATTAGCAAACGCTACCCATCTGTAAAAGTGAACTTACTAGTACCCATGACTGCTTAGCCACTCCCTCCTCCCCACGTTGACACTGCTACTAGTGCAGGCATCTGCTTGTGTGTTACTCAGAGTTTATAGTATTTGCTGACTAGGTTTTGCTCAGCTGTGTCTCTAGCTCAGCAGCACCCATTTATCATAATTATGGTGCTGTCTTCTGCTCTGCAGTATTTCAATTATACAGGAGGCTATTTTAGAATTGATTGCAGGCCATGTTTATTAAACTTTATTAGCTATGTAGCCTGTGATGAGGATGATATCTGTAGTGCTTGTGCCATGTAAAAGACTGGATTTTCAAAGGAGCTGGGTAGCTTCAGCTCCCTTTGACTTCAGTGGGAGCTGGGGTTGCTTGGCACCTTAGAAAATCAAGCTGCAGGTGCTCATCCTGAGGAGTTAATATTCTAATCCTGCTAAATAAGATACCTAGGAAAACAAGTGTTGTCTAGTGCTTGGAGCTCAAACTAAGCGTAGGCTCTCATAGGTTCTGCTTCTGATTTTCCCACTGACTAGAAATGTGACCTTGATCAAATCATTTAATCTCTCTGTGCCTCAGTTTTCCACATCTGCAAAATGGGGATATTAATATTTATCTATATAGTGCCACTCCTACTCTACTTCTCTGTCCATCTTCTCTCTTCTCCTATCTCTTTTTCCTCCATGTTGTCTCTTCTGCCCCAGCACCCACTCCCTGACTGTATGTCAGAGAATGTTGGGGGCCTATATACTAAAATATAAAGCGGTGTAGGTTCAAAATTGTAAATTTGCTTCCTTTGCATAAGGAGCAGTGTTGGTGGCCCATTGATCATTTTAGCTTGCTTTCAAAGTTTTATGGCAAATTGTAATTGATGTAATTTTTGTTGCATTTCTAATGAATATGAGATTAAGTATAAAAATTTGCTAAACAAAAATTACCATGATGTCACAGTGTACTTGGCTGTCTTAACTACTCACAAAATTACTATTCAAAATAATAATAATAATAATTAATAATAAAACTTGGCACTTACAACACCTTTCAGCCAATGTCTAATTACTGTGCAACCATTTAGTGAAGTACCATAATACCCCGGTGAGGTAAGTAATATTATAACTGTTATACAGATGCGTTGATTGAAGGGCACCTAGGAGACACAGTAAATTGATGGCAGTCAGGACTAGGTCTCAGGAATCCTAGCTCTTAGTGCTTTAACTATTTGTTTACATTCCTATTATTCCCAGATCCTCAGCTGGCATAAATTGGTGTTGCTCCATTGATTTCAATGCAACTAATCAATGACCCAGAAGAATGTATTTTCTGATAATAAACCTGCAGGACAATATATTTCCAAAGGACAGAAGTCCCATTGAACACCTCTTAAAATGAATGTTTGTTTGAAATGGTGGCAGATCACCCTTTAGAAAACTCTTTAAGCACTCAATGTGGAGGACCCAATCATGAAATGTTCTGGTTTATCTTGGCTTTGTGAATTAGTGTGTAGCCTAATTATATACAGTGCTAGGGCTGGGGAACATGAAAACTGAGACCAAATGTAAAAATATAGAGGAACATGATCATTTTAAAGAAAAGCTTAACTCTGTGTGTGCATAAGTGTGCAAAAGTATCTCCTTTATGTCAGGTTTGGAAATGAACATTAAATCTAAACTGGAAGCACAGCCTTTTGGGGGTGCAAACTAAAATATGTATAAACCAGATTTCATGAATCGTTGGCATTCTGGAATTGTAGTAATGGGTGTTAAACCTTTTAGCTGACCTGCAATGGAACAATAAACACATTACTGTAATCGACCTCTTTGGTAGTTTCTCAGTCATGCCATAGTGGCCCCAGAAGAAACGTGTTGCTTCACAAAATAAAAAAAATTAAGGTAATAAAAATGCTATAGGTAATAGGTTAGAGAAAATTATCTCTTAAGGCTAGTCTAAAGGCTTGCTGCTGTTGCAGATTTTCTACTTCCGCTAGTTCTGCTTGAGACCCCCTGTTGACAGAAATCAAAAAATATTAGTCTTACATGAAATAAATCTTGTCTTATCACCTGCGTGAGAGAGAGAGAGTATCAGGACACTTAATTTCATGCTGATGTGAGGAATATTTACAATGTGCTAATGAATATTTCTTGTTGTTGTTGATGGCTGTTGAATTTTGGTGTTTTTTCATTCTTCCTAAGCCTTGTGTTGCTGAGGAGACCTTTTTATTATTCATCAGGAATGAATGTAAGCTGATGCGCATGGATGAATATAGCAGAGTTTTAAAAATCAATTCCAGCAAAGTGGTATTATCACTTTAATATGCGTTCTGGCAACAGAGGAAAAAATGCAAACTTGAAAAATTGTGGTAATTCAAAACTAAATTTTCAAAGTGGCCTCATCCCATCCTCTGTATTTCCAGGGCTAAAATTGTGGACACAGGTTTTTAGACATGAAGTTTTTGTTGGCTGAGTTTTGCCTCCCCTGAATCTTCGGGTTGTGTGTATCAACACATTTGTGTTAAGGAATTGTTATGTAATTAGAGGCTTTGCTCAATTTGGTCGCACAAATTACATTTTGTGCAGCCCAAGCTAAGTTTTGAGGTAGGCAACAATTTT